GACAGACTTCGCTTAAATTTAATAGTATAGATCGTCGCAGGAGGCGCGGTACTTGAAAATGGGTTTGTATTGAGAAGTCCTTCGTGCCGTTTGAGGTTACAGCAATCTTGTGATATTAATTACGCAGTAAAGATGGTTATACTCGCAGCATTTTGGATCATACAGGTAGCGAACCCTCCACAAATGGCCCAGTCTGTAGTAAAGAGGATTACATAAGATTTGCTGGATGAATGAAAGCATCTCTATATCATGTTAATTTTTTATTTACTGCCTGCTACAAATTTTCACAGCAGGTATTACGGGAGATACAGCCATAATGAAGCTGAGATATTTGCAAAACTCCGGACCGCTGGTGCATGCGGTGGGTACTGAACATGCTATTACCATTTCCGATGGCTAACACGCTCACCACGTAGCTCTCCATCGCAGAAGAACACGTCTTATTGTCATCGGCAGAAGGGAAAAGATAGGGTTTCCAAAGTAGGTCACCTGCAGGGCAGAAGATAAAAACTGAACAGCGCACGAAAATGGAATTCTTGGAATGGAGAGATGGAAAGTACATTACTACGGTGTTCACACTTTGTAACTCTGCCCACTACCCTATGTCATAAAAATCGCAGGTTATATGGCACATGTAGCGTAGTGATAAGAGGTGTCCTGCATTATACATTGGATCGACCACCGGTTCGATCCCGCGTCCACCGCTCACCAAACCTTCCGTCTCTCCGCGGTCGGTACATTAGTACTAGACCTGCCTAAGAGGATAACAGCACTGACTTGGTAAATCGATAGGCTACCATAAGTCATCGTATATGCCAAATATGCCTTCAACCACCTCTAGTATGCTTGGTAAAGTAAAATGTATGACGCATAGCTCAATTACTGGTCGACACTAGGAGCTTCATCCTGTTATCCTTTTCATAATGAAGAAGAAGTTTTTTGCATACTTCTCCTTCGTTGATGAATGCGGTGCCAGTGAGAACATGAAGACGATGTTGTAGGATGCCGAGATCAAGAGATTACGATTTCAAATAGGCTGCAAAACATGCAAAGAAGTTTAGCACTCGATGAAGCCGTTGTTGGAAATATTGCTGTTTGGAATGTTTCACTGCTGACCATATAAAGTGCTATGATATGCAAGTCTGAAATAAGGAATTGCATATATGCAACAAGTGGACAAGTTTGTGTAAGAAACTCTTAATTATGAATAGGAAACAAAAGTTCTACTGTTCCCTAAACTCCCTACACCGAAAAATGTCTTTGTAGTGCGCACTCCCTTTGACAGCAATAATCCTTTCGGTGCAAAATAAACTCGTCCGAGAAAGAGGTTGTTGGAAATTATTAATTGTAAGGAACAACATTCTAAGGTTCGCCCATGGAATAATATCCGTATTGGAGAAGCTATCGACTGAATACAAAAACTTCGAGAAATAAGATCCGTATGGTAAAATAGAATACTGGCAATGAAATGAGTTGGGTTCAATACAATCACTTCTCCCTCTTCGTCACGGATGAAATGCAGACAGTTTATTTCGGAAATTATATGTTAAGTTAACAATTTCTTGATCTAAAAAGAGTTGGATACATTTCTGTACCAATGTGATGTCTGTGTGTATCATCTCCTAAGAAGTGGACACAGGATAAAAGCGATGCTTCCCTATGAAGTTCTTCACTGTGCTAGTGAACTGCAGTTTTTAAGTTCTTATTCTCTGAGTCATGAAGGTTATTTTTCTAGTTCACTGCGTGTTAATATCAACTTTTCAATGATTTTAAGGTGGTGAAAGCCTTTGACGCACTAACGGAGATAAAGATTATAACGACAGCTCATGAGGATTAACACTTGAATCATTCGACATCTGACGTACAGTACTCTGAACGATTGTAACATTCCAAACTTTCGGGAGAAGATGGAACGCAACAAGCTGAGAATTGCAAAATACTTCACGAGTGACAACAAACAGTTTTACTTTTAGCTTTACTTATTTATTTGTTTGCTTATTTACTTATTTATTTATAGTAATAAATAATAAAGGTTGCAATAATACTGCTTTCGTGCACAACTGGCTAGTATAACGTCATATAAATGCTCGACAATTCACCTCAAATGAGAACAGAACAACAGGGACGAAGAATGTCGTTGAAGAAAACATCAATTCGTCTGAATTGAAAAGAAATAGTATTAAAGCAAAAATGAACAACAATAAAGAATACAGCTGATAGCACCTATAGGTTAAAACACTGCTGACAGAAAGGCCAAACAAAGGACCCGCATGGTGTGGTGGTGAACACGTTTGCCCCAGGAAAGGGCAGCAGCCGGTTCTGTCCCCACCTCAAACATCTGCGGTTCGGAGTTTTGCAAACATCTCAGCATCACCGTGGTTATACTTTATATCATACCCTGTTGTGAAGAAGGATAGGCAGTACGTAAAAAGTGACTACATTAAAAAATGCAGTGCTTTGCAGAAGATCAAGCATCGACCTCGCTACAGATTCCACTTCTTCACAGTTCAAACAGTTAGAGGTAGAAAAAGGTTCCTGAGTGTCAAATTGACGACTAGGAGAACTTGTTAAATTCGTCTGTGTACATGGTGAATGATTACCACCAATGAAAGAGCACATGCTTCCACAAGATGTTTTTCGAAATGGTCGCAAAACGAGATGTTCTTCGTCAACAGGAACAGGTTTTTCTGTTCTATTTTTTGCTTTTCTAAAGCATCGAATAGAAATCACACTACCACATGGAAAGCCGATTCAAACGGTGCAGAAGATCAAAACACAAAGAAGATTTGATTGGTACGAGGCCGTTTGAAAATTGACAGTTTCCAGGAAACACAGAATTTCTAACTCAACCTTAAACAAATGAATCTCAGTTCATTCAGAATTTTATCGTTTGAAATGAAGATTATTAGAATCTAAAGAGGTTCGCCGTCAGAATCATCAATTCTGCCAAGATTTTGGGCGCGACACAATTTCTTCGCTTTTCTTCGTTGAGGTTCGTATTAGAAGCAGTGAAGCGTTCGAACAAGCGAAATCTCGTCCAATAGAACGAAAGGTCCGCACGAATGTTTGCGGCTATCCTGATTAAAACCTTTTAAATTCGCCAATTTTCGAACATTTAGGTTACAAGTAAGTTTATTAACTGAAGCGGTATTAACTGAAGCAACACAAATATGAGTTTTCTTTTTACCAGCACCCAAGCACACTTCATCATTTAAACTCTTCGATTTGATAGACTTATACTGTGCAGACCTTGTTGGTCCAACTACAGTCAGAAGAAAACGTTTATGACCGTTTAGTGATACGGTAGTGCTCATGTGAAAATAATATGAGTGCATGGAACGACCAAGTGGAATCCGTTTTATCATATCGTTACTAAAAATAGTGCAGTTGAACTTGTAGTTGAAAACTCCAGAGACCAAGTCGTCGTACGAAAATGAAGACAATGACAATAAAGGCCACCAAGTGAACGGTCGAGAAATGTACAAAACGTTCGAGTTGACATTACTTTCGAACGAGTACTGATAAGAGGACGAACTGAACTCGAACTTTCGTCCTTCGTCCTATTTACCAACAGTTTGTGAACAAGTTCGCCTACCGTTGCAGCCGACTTTCCAAACCTCGAAAAATTTGTTTGTTGTACTTAAAATACGACCACGTTTCCATGGCATGGGTCAAATGTAACGTCATGATTTGTGAATAGTATCTAGGCCTTTGGGGCGAGTGTAGCACAGTGGTCGGAGGCGACCTGAAATACGCATGGGATCGATCCTCACGCCCGAGGTTCACCAAACCTTATACCCCTCCACGTCTGCAAACTGGTACCGGACTTGTCTGGGAGGACATCAGCACTGGCTCGATACATCGCTATGCCATGGCGGGTCGTTATGTAAGCCAGATGTGCATTCAATCACGTCCAACGATTCTTAGTGAAATCAAATGCATGGCACACCCCGCGGGATCTAATAGTGCCGAGCGCTTTATCCTTTATCTTTTTATCTAGGCATTTTGAACCAGTTCTTCAGTTATTCGTCCAGACAGTATGATCCAAGAGGAGGTCTAGTGCGTAGTTTGCTACCATTACTTAGATAATTCGGATATGTTGCATGTTATGCAGTACTACTCTATTTGATACATCAGTAGCACTTCTTCACTAAATTGCAAACGTGCGAGGACATTCTCCATTTGAATGATATCTCTCTAGTTGTTTAATCTTCGCTTTTCGAAATCACGAGGCAGCCTAACCAATGCATTCCTATCTTGCTACCAGAGACACTAGTCGGCCACTGTACATCGAAGGTTAGTCCTTCATCTAGCAACTACACTACTAGGATAAGGATTGTCTCACACACGTGTACACATTACACTAGGCTTCCTACTGCGAATATCCAACACATTCGCAGCTTGAATGATCCTTCTGAGGTCGAGAACATCGCGAATAGACGCCAAAAAGCACTCTCATCAAGGTGTGAAGATGGCGCATTTTTGGGATAAAAAACCAAGCGACTAGTAAGTATAAGTATGAAAACAGGCCTCAAAACAAATCTTGCATTGGAAATCGCGAAACCTGATAGTAAACCATGTCCATGGTTTTCGACTTTCACATTTATTCAACACCTTTTTAAAAATATGCCAATATTAATTGCTGACATTTAGTTGCTTTGAAAGAAGAAAAACAACAACAACGAACAAAGCTAAAAGTCAGGGTGAAAGAAATTCAGCTCATGATGTTAGCCCGCAAACACGAAAAAACAGTTGGATGAAAGCTTATTTTCAAAGGATTTGTTAACATAACAAATCTAGTTGCAGAAACATAACCTCAAACAACCAGAGAATTCGCTTCAAAAGAAAAAAAACATCTGCAGAACTTTGCATATTATTAGCTTTCTGAATTTGAGCAATTTCTTTTAAAAGGTGTACAACATTCCAATTTAATAGATTGACCGGCATGAAAAGCAACGATAGCAACAAAAGGACCCAACAAAAACTCAAAATGATAACAGTTAATTAACTGGTGCCAGCCGCAGTTGTGTCTGGATTGTCACTGTTTGTCCCTTTAATTCACTAACTGGTGTGGTAGGGTGGAAACGGGTACCATCCAAAAGGGTAAGCGAGATGGTCCCTTTCCATAAATCTAATGCCGAACGAATCTTAACAAGTTTTTCCTTATGCATATCTTTCATTTGTTAAATACCATAATGAAAAAAATTGCAAAACGCCAACTCATTGTATTACGAAAATAATGCTAAATCACTCACCTCATACAGCAAATCGCGATAACTAAGAAGTTCCTCAGAATTTGATTTCAGACGAATACGAACAGATTTCCCATTTAGACAAACTGTCACAACATCAGCTGCAGAATCCGCGACCAACCATAGCTGCAAATAGTTTTTATCCTTAAAAAAAGATGGATAAGAGCGTTTGTTATCCTCAGTATCAAGGTTGCCCTATACAAGACATTTAAGACCTTACTAGCTCACAAAGACCATATTATCTGATAAAGACAAAGCTATTATAAGAGACAAGATGGGAAAGAAGCAGATTACTTGGTATTATAAGAAAAAATATTGATAGAAATATCGGCACCGAAACTTCAGCGTCTTTGACTGTGCTCACATTGGCCACTGTAGCGCTCTTCCCAGATGGCAATGCCTCCAACAGCATGGGCGTTCCTACAAATACGTTCTGCGTAAAATAAGTTTCGAAATAAATGGAACATATTGACCAATCGATAAGAGATGCATCGGTGCATTCATGCTTTCACAACAATTGCATTAAGGCATTAAACACATTCTTTGTACAGGTTTCAATGGCACACATTATTCCATTTTTAGTCGAAAAATGAATCAGTTATTAGTTTTTCTATCATCAAATAATGTGCAACAACACAAAAAGTTGGCTTAAGGTTCCCACTTACCAGTTGCCTCCTCGATCTTTTTCTTGTGCGATATAAGGACTGCAGCCATTTGGCTCGTGTCTGGTTTGACCATGCAGTAAACCATAGCAGGATCCGTTGAAACTAACTTCGCCTAAAACCGTCTAGTAAACACAAGCAGTCATGTAAAAAACAAAGGGACTAGTCAACGCAAGATATGTTCTCCCATAAATGACGGCAACGAACATACCGCCTTTCTTAGTTTTTGTACTCGATTCGTGATCTCTCTTGATAAACCTTCTTCTACCAGTTCCTGATCTTTCGAGGTATCCAACATTAAGATTGTCTACAACAGAAACTAAAAACAGTCACTATGGATTTTTAGTGGGCGCAGTGCATAGAAATACAATACGTATAGAAATATTCAACTTATAACATTTATGAAGTTGTTTGAAAAGTTCGGCGACTGCAAGCATATTTTCAAATTCGAACAAATTTATGGAGGATCTCATGCGTTAAATTGTCATCGAGCTCTCGCAGAATAACTGAAGGATTCATAGCCGTTAGGAAAACTGCTGCCGCAATGGAAGATATTTGTCGCAAAGTAGCAAACCTCGCTTCGATCGACGAGGACCAGAGACTGTTTATGTGAAGAAATGGAAAGCCTTGGCACCATTGTCTTGGATTCTTACAGAAGACACGCTGACGCAATATTCAATGCGGCAGTTAGGAAGGAAGGCGACCGGTCACCTTGCAGTTAATCGCAGAAAAAAGGCAACTATAGATAACACGTGCAAGAAAACGAAACGAAAAGAAACAGTCTGACGAGCACGTAATATGAAGATAGATAACCTAAGTAACTAATATATGTAACGACTCAAGAAGTGACCCTTCAGATAATACAATCATTTCTAACTATGACAAGTTGTTAACACCCGAAGGTTTCTGACCGCTTGCGTACCTCAAAATAGAAGGTAAATGCGTTCTTAGTCTAACTCAAAGTCAGACCATTTCAGTTATGTTCGCCTATTTAATGTTCCGAAAACGCAACTGTCGGAAAATGTCAAGAAAGTCCGCCGTGTAGACAGTGTTCCCAACGAATCGCAACTAGTTTTAGGTTTTTTGAAAATCAACTATTTGTATAAATGTATATATGCGTACAAATATACATGTATATTCATATATATGTAAAGCTTATTCTATGTACTTTGGTTCCATATAATTGAATTATAATATAAATTTTTTTCGTTCTGACAAATTTGACAGGTTAGAAAATGGGATGTCAAAACAGCAATTCCGACGAATCTTCTATGGGTTCGAGCTCGGCTGTAGTACAATGCAAACGGCTCGAGATGTTGAAAAATTCCAAAAACCGAGGAAGTATTAATGAGACCAAAGTGCAACTTTGGTTCCAAAGATTTCGTTGTGGTGAATTCGACTTTGAAGTTAAGGAAGATCTCGGACGCCCTTATCCTCTTGACGGCAACGGATTCAAGGGTTTCGTAGAAGTAAATACATGCACCGTGGTCCAAAAAACTGCAGAACAACTCGGTGCAGGCATCTCAACCATTTGGAAGCAATGACAAAGAACCTTAAAGCGATGGGTAAGTGGGTTTCCTTCTAGATGGATTTTAAAAAAATCGTCGTTTTGTAGCATCGTAGGCACTTTGAGAGAAACATTTTACAGAAAGCTAATCTCATTAATAAACAAAGTACCGAAGAAAACAATTACAAACCAAACTAACACGTCGCAGAATTCTCTAATCAATTAAAATAAAAATAACGCAGGTGCTAACTTTCTGCTAAATTCAACCTACACACCTTGCCATCAGAATGAGTTTCGTAGCCATGACATTTCGAACCACATTCGACACTTGTGTAACTGACATAAATTTCTTCTGATGTAAGCACATGTCCGAATAACGTAATCTTACCTGAAATAGAAATATCACACATATTAACAGTCTACCAGTACAAATTGTAAACAGTACAGTTTTAGTATGACCTTGGAAAGTTAACGTTAGCAATGGAGTTCGTTGAACGAAATTTGAAATGAAGATGGAGATGAAAAACATTGGCAGATTTTTCCTGACTATTCATCTCATTCATCATTTTTCCAACAACATAAAACAGTCCCTGCATAATTAAAACAACACGGTACCTTCGGCAAGAAACTGCTCCAGTTCATTTTCAGTGATTTTCGTTTTGAGATAGTCCACCACTACCTTTTGATCTGCTTTCAATTTTGCACCCAATAACCGGAAATTCGGTTCCGCCTTAATAAAATAGACAACTATTCAAACGATATTCGTGCGGGTGACGAGGAAATGTCGCTGGACTCATGTATTTGGATGTGTGCAACAAACAACTTAGCACTCCAACCCATGTATAGTACGGCTCTCAACAGAGATATCCTATTGAAGATGAAAGAACTCCCGTTTCTACAAATTCCTTTGCAAATTACTAAGTGACATAACTCTCCTCGTGCTGTACTCAACACAGCATCTATGCTAGAAAGAAAGTGGATGCAAAGAGAGTAGCGAAGGACTTAATAGCAAAACATAGAGTGCGGAAGAAAATGTGATGAAATCTACGCATACTGTTATATTTGTTCCTCAACCATAAATATTGAAATCAGTGAGTACGGTCAATAATGTGTTAAAAATAGCAGAGATAAAAAAGTTTTTAGCGCACCTTTAAAGTTATTCCATACTTATCCTTGTCATTAGAAACTGTCAACTGACGCACATTAACTTCCGATAAAATGTAATGCTCAAGACTTTTGAGGTCATCCAAAAACTGACTTTCACGATTTACAACAATCATCTCCTTTAGTGGATACTGAAACTTCCCAGAGTTTTTAAATAATTACAACATCTCCAAAAAAAAAACCGAACACTTTTGAGCACTAAGGTTTAATAACATCTACTGACCTTAACAGGAATTCCTTTGCGTTCACGCAAAACTCTAACAAGATCAATGCAATCACGCATCGCCTGGACCCTTCGCTCAACCACTTCGTCAATCAGTGTGTTATCGGGAGTAGATAGTAATGTGAAGTGTACAGATTCTTCAGTAGCATTAATAACCTATGCGTTGTATGGATTCCAAAAAGACAACTGGAATTTCCTGTAGAAAAGAAAAACATACTTTTCTCAAGTTTTGCCAAACATATTCACAAAAGAATGGAGTGAATGGAGCCATTAATCGAACTATGAGCGTGAGAACACGACCAAGAGCGGAAAGTGCGAGCGCTTGATCATCTGCTCCAAAATCTCCCTGCAACAAATGAAAAACGTTGCACTCGTTTCAAACGCAATCCGAAACTCACCTTTACTCGTTTTCGATTAAGACGAATATAGCAGTTTGTCAGTGTATCGAAGAAATGAGTAAGAGGATTTACCACAGCATAAAGTCGATATCTGGAAAGTTTCGTTAAGCCAGAAACGTACAGCCTTTGGTAAGCCAGATCTTTTCTGAATAAAAAAACATACAAGCAAACCCAGCCAATGAACAAATGTGAAAATTTGAGAGCTTGTTTTCCTTTAAAGATGCAGGCATGTAAACAAATGATAACTAGGCCTTGTCCAATCAATAATAATACTTAACAGAATATGCACTTTCTTTTGAGATTCCAGAATTATGCTAGGCCAGAGATTCTAGGAAATTTTAGAATTGTGATCAGAATTTGGCTAAATTTACAATGTTATCCTAGAAAATAAAAAAAGTATAAAAATAAGGTAAAAAAGGAAAAATAAAGTAGAAAGGCAAATATCAAAATTTTCAAAACCCACTCAGACATCTCCTTGCGAACAAACAGCACCAAACTATTCGTGAAAGACTCAATCCACCTATCCATTATGTTTTCACTTTTGACTTCTTTCATTGAAAAGGCACATCCATTACCCTGCAATTAAAAGACCTTCCGGAATAAAAATTTTTCCAGAAAAAAGCGACATTTATGAATCATTTACCATTTACTGATCAATTGTCTAAACCAAAGAAATGTCTTGGAAACGTCGCTGAAAATTTTGATGCTATTTCATCAAGACCCGGGCCTTTCTTTATTGCGCGACGACTGCACATCTTTTTTTTCAGAAAAAAATTAGAGCAGTGACAATAAGCAAAACAAAGAATTCGATTATAAATGCTATTAACAATCAGATTTTTGCATTGTTCTCTGAAAAACTTGTGTATAAAGCAATAATGACTTGGTAAGGAGCTTCTAATCGCAGCCAAGTATGTAGAGAAGCAGCAATATAAAGAAAAAGTAGCAGCAAGAATGAAATTTTCGTTAGACGCATCAATGTCACTGCGGGATTTCTCCAAGTTCACAAATTTTCCACTTTTACACTATCCATTAGCCTCGTAGCCGTAATTGACAGAAATAATTCACGTAGATGGTTTGCCTGATTCCGACCGAAAATAACCGACACCATTCCCAACATAGACCGTGTGGAATTCCCTTGGTAAGCTTTGAAAATGATACGTAGTGGGCAAAACATCCCTACTTCGGTACCAACCGTTGCAGTAAACACGTGAGCGTTTGCATGCTTACGCAAGTACTATAGATATACAGTATGAGTCGAATTTAAAACACTGGTGGAAAATCAGTTTCTTGGATATCATAGCACACCCCACATGTCACAACGTAGGAAATAATCGAATATAATCCTATGCACGAAAAGATCTCTTGGCTCGTAGTACTGAGTGATTAGCGTGGTTGGACTGACATATTGGCCTACCGACACGGTTCTCTGGCCTGTTTGTTTTATTAAGTGGTAGCTAGCTATAAAGCAAGAACTGGTCCACAGAAATAAAAATCCTGTTAATTATCTAAAAGCTTACGTGCTCGTACAGGTGTATATTTTGCATGAAAAATCTAAAGGCGTTGAACCACGGAAGAAAAACGTCCTTTAGGAGATCGCGTACACCTTCTTCCCTGCAAAAAGATGCATTAAATACGGCCTAAAACTGTATATGAGCGAATGATGGCTACCTAAATCGGAGGTTTTCTCCTCGTACTACGGGAGAACTGATGAGGTAAAGACGAAGAGCATCGGCGCCATATTTCTGGACAATTTCCATGGGGTCAGGATAATTCTTCTTACGTTTGGACATTTTGTTTCCATCAGAAGCGAGGACAAGCCCATTACAAATCAGATTCTATATCAAAACTTTTGATTATGGATATTTCTGAACAAGACAGAAAAACAACACCTTAAATGGAGGTCTGTTGAAGAGCGCAGTAGACAACACTAGCAAAGTGTAAAACCATCCCCTTGTTTGATCAATGCCTTCAGCAATGAAGTCCGCCGGGAAGTTTTCCTCGAATGTTTTCTTGTTTTCGAATGGGTAATGATTTTGAGCGTATGGCATTGAACCTGATTCGAACCAGCAATCAAAGACCTGTAAAAATTCTCTAAAATAACAAATAAAAAAATGCAACTACAATGATACTGAGATATTTGCAAAACTTGAACCCCGAGCCGAATCGAAGCGCGATTACCTTTCGGGAGGCTCACGTGCTACGCACGTCACCACTTACGCGGTTGCAATACCTTTCTCTCAGCCTGTTTTTTTACCCTAATGGTATCATCAGAAATCATCTGACAACAGGAATGACCGTCGTAGAAAAATAATGGGCAATAGGTAGAAAGCTATACATTATGATTATTACTACAGCCTCACCTTAAATGCGTTTAATGCCGATTTGTCCTCCCCAGATCATTCCCGTTGACTGGTGATTGCTGTTGGCCCCGTTAGGGTAAAAAGACTAGCTGACAGAAAGGCAGAACGAAGGTCTCAGTGGTGCCGTGGGTAACACGTGAGCCCCCGGAAAGGGTAATCAGGATTCGCCTGGAGTGCTAGTTTTGGAAATATCTCAGCATCACTATGGTGGTATTTTACACAACACCTTGCTGTGAGAAAATAATGGGCAGTAAATGGAAAGTTGTACATACTAAATCAAACTGCAGTAACCATTAAAATCTATGCGATTTCACAAGATTTCTAACGTAGAGGAAAAACAGCAGCTTGTTTTATATAATCGCAAAAATATGGACTGAATTAACAGCAATTTTCCCGGATGTTTTGACGAACAGAGAGCGATACTGGCTAGAAGGTACCAGGATATTTTACTAGTAAAAGGAACACAGATCAGCAAGATACTACAAGGTCTTTGCTTTATTTATACGGATACACGAAGCCCGCTACGAACTGTTGCCTCCTTGTCCAGTAACACAAAACTGTTCATAATGATGCGAATTCTTGGTACTTATCTTTCTAAAGAGATAAGTGCATAACAAAACATTCGAGTTTCACAACGTAGCATGCGCGGGTGGAGAAAAGATAGGCTTTGCCTCACGTCGGACACCGGAAAATACGAATGACAGCGGATTTATGAGAAAAAAGTACCTCCGTTACTCGTCGTAACACACCCCGACCAGTTTTTGATGGAATGGTAAGATGATCAACACTGAAAACAAAGAACAATAAACACGGGGCAAATAAATAGAAAATTTATTTCTACCTTTACCTTTCCCTATGAATGTCTTCAATCTTTGTGCCAGTAAGCCGCTCGAGTTCAGCAATGCTCGAAGGACATACAATCTCCTCTAAGTCATCGCTAACCCAGAGATTTATTGGAGTACCCCAAAAACGATTACGGGATACGGCCCAATCTCGAGCATCACGCAACCAATTAGCAAATCTTTTCTCTTTAACAAACGATGGAACCCTTAAAAAGTGACGACATAAATACTCCTCACTATGTGTAGTCGAAACTCCTACCAATATGTCTGCTCATTATTAGCCAGGAGCATAGGTACAATTTGTTCTACACGAATGAACCACGATGGAACAGCCTTGTACAAGAGTGGGGTATCAGATCTCCAACAGAATGGATAGGAGTGCTTAACCTAAACATAAAAAGGATAAAAAGACTCCTTTTAGCTTTTACACTAAGGATTTTTTCGCACATTCCAAGTGGAAAAAAACGTCAACAATAAAATAGACACCTCTCCTTGCTTGATCAAATTTCCATTTTCCTTCAGTCTCTTACATATAAGCTTGTCAGCGTCCTTCACATAAACTCCTTTATAATCGCACACCTCTTCAGTAAATCTGCAGCGCACTTTTATTTTATGTTCATCCACACTTATTATCTCTAATATTTGACAGACTAGAATTCGCGGAATTGTACTGGAAAAAAAAGTTCAAAATTTCCAGTGACTGTTGCACATACCTGCCACTTTCATCAACTGGGCATACAATTTTCATGTCCTTTGTAATAACACCATTCTCAAGACATGTTAGGTAATCAATCTTAATAGGTAAAGTTGTATAATATAAAAATTTCTGGCAACTAATGACATAGAAATAATGATCAATCATGAAAAAAATTCAGCCTGATTAAAGGATAAAAGAAGAAAACTCTCGGCGTTCACCAATCTCTGAGGAGTTCGCCACGCAATTGGATTTCGTTAAGCATCGTCTGGAGGTGATTGAATGCATGTCTGGCCTTTACAATGACTTGCGGTGGCCTATCGATGTATCGAATCAGGGCCGTTTTCCTCCCAGGCAAGTCTGTAACCAATTCGCTGACCTAGGAGGGATGAACGCTTGGTGGGCCGGGAGGGCGGGGATCGACTCCATGTGTGTGTTGCAGGGCGTCTCCGACCACACCACTGCGCCACATGCGCCCCAGCCTCATCACAACAATACAATTCTAAGATAGTAGGCAAACAAGTAACAACATTTCTAGATATTTTAAATGGTGTGGACTCTACATGAGAATAATAATATAAAATCTTACAAAATATGCATTAAATCGAATTCTGCAGACAACATTTATGCATCGAACAAACCTCTCCAAAATAAGGAGCCTGGTGCACAACACCAGTACCTTGATCGGTGGTAACGAACGTATTACAGAGCACACGGAACGCGCCTTCAGTTTTCAAGGCTTTGAAATAAGGAAATAAGGGTTCATATGTCATACCTTCAAAGAAGCGGCCCTTCACCTGAAGAAAACATTGCGGCATGTTCTGAAACTCACGCAATTACACAAAAAGAACTAACCGACCTTATCCATAACTTGTAAGTTTTCATTTTTTAACTCGAACAATCTTTCCTCCATTACAACGTATTCCATTTCATTTGATGGATCTAAAAAGAGTGATATGATATAACTGAGATGAGTCATTGTACTTAAGATAAAATACCACAATCAGATGAAAGCACAGAGTTTTTATTTCTCCAGTGAGCTGGCAAGACTTCATTATTTGTTCGACTTCAGCTGTCGTTTTAATGGAGTTAGCCTACCTCAGAACTTAAAAGGATAATACTGCACCGTAATCTACTGATTTGAAATTTAGTTTACAGCAAGGTTTTAAAATAGCCCTCGATATTTTCATACGGAAATCAAGGTAGAAATAAATAAATTTCAGCAATGACTGTAACCCTGACTAAACCATAATGGTAAGGTGGCAAATCGCTCCACGATTCATGAAGACTGAACTATGTTCACGGTGAGGATCCAAAGTAGTCCTAGAGACTGTAGTTCAAGACTTCACAGATGGTGCTAGAACCGGTGAGAAATTCAATCAGGCATGGATACATAGACGTTTAAAATAAAAAGAAAAGAATTTGTACGCAACATGCTAGAACAGTTTATTCTATTGCCTATCTTCGGCCATTTTAGCCCACAGGTTATACAAATTCCATCGCATGTCCGTACTTCGTCTTCCATCTCCCTCTCAGAAAAATCTGTAGAATCAACTGCTACATATAACCAATGCAACCAATGAGAACGAACTACTCGCATTCCATATTCAGCTGCCGCAAATGATCCACAACAAAAAAAAACCCAAAAAATTATTACCAAAGAATTGAACACCAGAATCGGGAAACTTAGTGCAAGAGAATATGGCACCGAGAAAGTCGAACCACTTGTACCACTAGCCTCCTCGTTGACCGTCGAGTGGCTCGAGCGGGTGCCAGTAAACCTTCCGTTAGCTTTGCCGAATGCAAGATTACCCTACCACATTCTGCTGGCTCTAGGGACTCGCTGATCGTCTTGTCTTCCTTCTAAGATTTTCGTAAACAACTCTGATCATCGGGTCGGTGGTCTCCCGGTCTGTACTGCGTTTTGAAATCCCAAGGAATACAGTCACTAACGGCTCCTATCTACCAGTAGTCGTTCGTATGTGTTCTGTAACGCTGAGTGATCCCTTCACCCTGCTTATGTAGCGACCAGAACCCTAACGCATAGGTTAAGGTAGAAAGAATCGTACAGTTGAAAAGGTGGGCATGGAGTCAGTTCTTTGTTCTCTTCACTACACTCGATGCTCTTGAAAGCTTCCCAAGTCGCTCGTCTCCTCATGCTCAACTCTGGAGCCATGTAATTTACCATGATTTCCCAACCTAGATAGACGTAACTGAAGCATTCGGAGATATTAACTCTGTTGATCGTGAATAGGGAGGAAGCAATCCTTTCTTCGTGAACATCGCTTTTATAAGATTTAGTCAAAGACCAACTTTTCCATAACAGTAATTAAAGTCGGTCAGCTTTCGTTCCGTATGGCTAATGCTTAATGTTATAAGAACGATGGTGTAATCACCAACCACCGATTTTCATTGCCACGTTGTCTCATTCCAATGTTCACATGACGTTCTCGAGGGTGGCGGTAAATAACTTTGACGAGAGAATATTTTCTTGATTAATCTCTCTTTTCGTTTTAAAATTCGGAATATGAGACCGTCTTACTGGGATCGGGCGCACAGCACTCATCTTCTACGGGCATTCGCTTCTCGAGAAGAAAAACTACAACTGGAAATAGGGGTCACGTAACCATGAGCGGTGAGCGGCCACATTCTTAATACGCAAGATCCGCTGATAGCTCCACAATGTCATGTCTCCGTACTGCATTCCATACCACATTCACCGTGAGAACATTCGCATATATTAATAAGTGGAAAAGAACTACTGCCATCACCCATAATGACCTGGATACGACGTAAACACGTCTGTAAAAGTTGGCAATAAATATCAGCTACATAAAATCCTTGCAGGATCCCAGACCAAAAAGCACTACTCCAAACGATGCCTCCTGGATCTTAGGCTTCTACTGTCAGCTATGATGAACATAGATAAGATTACGACTACTTTCCAAGATAAATTGAATCCATAGGGCAAATGATGCGCTCTGATCTTTCCCGTTCTAAAACCTCAGAATCTGACCATAAATGACAATTTGGAAGAGAATTACCTTAGATTCCCTCTCCTGAAGTTCAGATCTACAAATTGACGAAGAGGACGGTAGTGGACCAGAACAGTAAGCAAACATTTTTTTAATGCGAACACTTATACTACATTTACGGTTCAGCTATTGGAACGATACTGCTTACGATACAATGCTCAAACCAGACGGCCACCATAAACAACCATTGCAAGTGACGAAACTAATGAAAAGCGTGCTATAGATTACACGACTCTCAAAGACGGTCCATTCATGTTTACAAGTTTCCAAGACTTTCAATTTAAATCTTAGTTGTGTCCTCGACATCCACCGCGACATGTTCTTGCCAAATAGGGTTAGAGTAATTACCTTTAATTATAGCGGTAATTCATTCCTAAGAATGGATATGTAAATCTTTTTTCACGATGAAATGAAGGACGGTTCGAAAAATACTGTATCGTTAAGTGCTAACTAACATATCACAGACTGCTGCAGAATGCACTGCCCGCCCAAAGTAGATCTTACTGGATAACGGCAATCGATGAACACGCATCATGTTTAAAAGAGCACCACTGAGTGAAGTGAATCATTCGAAAGGTGCAACTCCACTGCATTCGACTCGATATGACAACGAACAACTGGGGCTCAACATCGACTCAAATCAACCCGGCTTTGAAGAAGACGAAGGAGTCGAAACATTAGCCGAATACACCTTTCTACTAACCTCGTGTTAGCTTAATAACCGAAGAAAGATATGTAAAAACTGTAGTTAGTATTTCGAAACCGACCTTCCCTAAACCTCGGTGTGACTAATCAATATGTATTCTTTCTTGGTAAGCTTGCACGAGGTTGATAAATATATTTATTTTCGGCTAACGTTTCGACGTCTTCGTCTTCCTCAGAGCTGGTGATCCGAGTCGATGGTCCATGCTTGTTGTTCGCCTCGACGTTGCGTCTTCGCCTTCGTGTCGAGCCAGATCTTCCTCAGTGGGCCATCTTCTCGAATGAGGCATCCTCACTCAGTGATGCCCTTTTATACACGATGCTGATGGTGGATATATAATGACAATGTCCGGTGGTAACAACTTGTGTTTCATCCGGCCATACATCATTGCGCACATCGTGCGAAATATTACTACGCTTTGTGCTAGCTGATAATACACCGACCTCTGCACGATGTGCGCAATGATGTATGTATGGCCGGAAGAAATACAAGTTGTTACCACCGGACATTGTCATTATATATCCACCATCAGCATCGTGTATAAAAGGGCATCACTGAGTGAGGATGCCTCATTCGAGAAGATGGCCCATTGAGGAAGATCTGGCTCGACACGAAGGCGAAGACGCAACGTCGAGGCGAACAACAAGCATGGACCATCGACTCGGATCACCAGCTCTGAGGAAGACGAAGACGTCGAAACGTTAGCCGAAAATGAATATATTTATCAACCTCGTGCAAGCTTATCAAGAAAGAATACATACTGTAGTTAGCTATCACCAGCCAAAAACCTAGCTAAAATCAAGCTTCTACAATATTGGTAAAGTCTAGTAAATTCAGGCAGATTGCGCAGTGGTAGTGATGCCAATCGTCACGAGCAAGATGCAGGTTCAACACCACCGTCTCGGTTTCACCAAACATCCATTTCCTGGCCTGGAAATTGGTGCACTTGTTTGAAAAACCTGACTCTCTGCAATTCAAGTGTGAACGGCTTAGGCCGCCTATCACAGGCCTCCAGAGAGGATCTACTCGCCCAGTATTCGACGACCTTCATGACGAAAGGAAAATTTTCATGTAACAGCTGAACCTATTTGCAAAACCAGGGAGACCTTCGTGGACGATCGACGGATGCAAGGAACGAATCGAATGTCAAAGGGCTGAAACCCGCACAATAGATGAGGGAAAGATGCGTTGTGGAAAAAAACCTGGCAAACATGGTTATCTCACTACCAAAAACAGTAGAAGCCTCATAAACCTCGTAATAAAAACATGAAACTCCTCATGCAAGCTCCAGTGAACAGCTCTGATGCATGAGATGAAGAAACGGGGAAGCATAAAAATCCATTTCCGACCGTATTGCGATAGGCGATCATAAGCGAATCCTATTCGAGAACCGATACCAATCGGTGTAGTGGTTATGCGAAGATGAATTATCCCTGCACCTCCAAAGTTCAATGTCCACAAAAGAAAGAACAACGACGAATTTTTATACTCTGAAACAGAATTAATCCGCTACAACTTACTGAATTCTGGATAAGCCATCACAGCAGAAAAGCACTGTTACGAAGTCGTTGCTGTTAAGAAATCACGGTACAGAGCATCAGTAGAAAAGAAAGTGAATCTACTCATAAATTATTAGGCGTCTCGATAGCTACCACGCGGAAAAATCTTAAGCAACAAAGCTGCCGCTGAAAGTGTCTCCGAAGAGGCTTCCAGAACTTTAGAACTTCAGAAGAATTTAAGATACTAGAATAAATAACCTATTTCCTTGGCAAAATGTGTAGATTCTAAGGTTTTCATTCTGATTGATAATATTGATTTAGAGACGATTGACAACATTTCAACGTCTCTATGGAAAAATCTCTATTCCGCTTAAGTAAAATTCACAACTTTCTGGTTAGGTACCACCTTGATTAAGATCGTTTTAGAACGCTAATTAAAAAGAAATAGTGAGTGGTAATAAACTCCACTAAATATTCAGCCTGAAAAAAGTGAAAATAAAATTGCATTTGGAGCGCAAATATCCAGAAAATTGGAGTCCAGAATGGAGTTTCAAACTGTCATTTTACCGCTAGAAAGCAATAACAAAAACCAGGAATAGAAGAATAATCCTTCATGCCTACTCATATCCACGGATCTCCTTCATTTAAGGGATCCCGATAGCCGGTTAGTCGCCAAGCTATGTGGCGCGTCCCCAGGTGGCGTATTGAGGGTTAATCGTGGATCAAAAGCGACCAATGCTTCCCTGCGACGCAAATGGATCCAGGGGATGGACGCTCTGTTTCTGCTGCGCCGATTTGGCACATACTTTCTGTACTTATCTAGCGCATTGATGTACGCAAGTGTGGGTGTTCTAGTTTATGCGGATTGTATTCTGCGAGTCAGTTCGGCCAGAAACCAGTAATAAAGTGACAGGGAAGTAGATGGGAAGCGGTTAGGAGTCACCTCAAACAAATATGCTTCATGTCCACTCTGAAAGAGCCTAGCGAGCTAGCCCTGAGTATACCCAGCCCCACGTTTAGAGCCCAGCAAGCTATAAGTGGGTATCACAAGTGCTAAACAGTAAGAAAAAAACGGGCCTCATTCCTCTTACCCCGAAAGAGCCCTCAATTTCGCAGCGTTGGACGAGTACGGAGAGGCTGCTAAAATCTCAGCGCCAATGGAAGCTGTCTGGATTTCAAAGAACTATGGTGACGATCTGTACCTACAATGCACGTACACCTGCATCCGAGTCCTCGATAGAAAACTTGCTCATGCAAGCAAGAAGGATAAGGTACGACGCCATCGGCCTGGCAGAGACGAGACGA